GGATCTGGAAAGCAGGTTAGTGGGGTGGGGAGCAGAGGTGGTATTCAGCCGGTTCTGACTAGTTCTGGGGAGAGAAGGGGGATTTTGCAGTATATCCTTCCCCTGCCATGCCCACCAAGCCACACCTACAGAACCGGTAGTAAAAAAAATTGGAATCCCACCACTAGATTGGCCCCTCCCATAGGACATTAAAAGAGGAATGAACGGGAGATGAGCTTTTGCAGGAAGCAATTAGTTCATCTGGTCGGTTCAAGCTTTGAAAAGTGCCGTTTGACTCTGTGTCAAGTTTGGCCTTGCGCTGCGTCTGGCAATTAGTTCTCTGGCCGCATTCCAAGTGCGATAAGGTGGGTTTTTTATCAACATTCCCCCGAAAAGACTGTTTGTGAAGCCTGGCAGGCTGTGAATGGACTTAATTCACAGCCGTGGAAATAAAAAGAGGTTTTGCCGGGACTTAAGGTTGTGTCTTATTCTTTCTAAGGAAGCCTAGGTCAGAACGTTTTTCTTGCCACAGTGATTAAGTGAATCACCACACTCGTTAAGTTAGTCACACGGTCATTAAGTGAATCTGGCTTCCCCACTCTAAGTTATGCTTGTCGGAAAGTCACAGATCGTGATCACATGGCCCCAGGACTCTGCCACTGTCATAAATAGGAGTCAGCTGCCAAGTGTCTGATTTATTGATCACACGGGAAAAGGGTGCAACGGTCATGAGTGTCGAAAATGGTCACAAGCCACGTTAGTGCCATTGTAACTTTGAATAGGTCAGGATCGAACTCCTGGCTGTGGGCAGAATTAGCCTGCAATGATCCATTCTAAGCACTGTGCCACCACGGCCTTTCCTTCCCTTCTTCCCTTCTTCCCTTCCTTCCTTTCCTTTCCTGCCTTTCTTCCCTTCCTTTCTTCCTTTCTTCCTTTCTTACTTACTTACTTACTTATACAGTGCTTTACAGACCTCTCTAAGCAGTTTGCAGTCAGCCTCTTGCCCCTTCCTTCCTTCCTTCCTTCCCTCCTTCCTTCCTTCCTTCCTTCCTTCCTTCCTTCCTTCCTTCCTTCC